ACGTGTGTTTATTTTTTAGGTTTAAACTCTCGGATGGTCCTCATATGAGAATCTCAGTTGGGTCCTCATATTTGAAACTGTCTCAATTGGGTTATAATATTTGTAAAATTGAATCAATTTTACTCTATCCGTTAAGTTGTCCCAAACACCCGTTAACTTGAGCTGAGCTGTATTTTTTTTTTATAGTGTGACATTATGCATTAAATTGAATGAGTGATGTGTTTTAGAATCATCAAATCCACGTGGCGGTAATGTTTCTTCTTCCCTCCAACCACTGATCACCTTTCACCTCTTCCGCTCCTCCGCCCAAACTGCTTCCTTCTCACTCCCTAGACACACACACTTTCTTCCTCTCAAACTAAAAAACGCCGCCGTCGGCGTTTGTCGAACTCCTCTTCCCCTGCGTGAGTGTTTGTCCAAAGACAACATTGTAAAAGACTGAGAAGGAAAAAAAAAGAGAGTAGAGAAATGAAGGATTCTACGGAGTTTAGCTCCCCCTCCTTGTCCAATAACAATGTGAGCAAATTCTTAGAAAACCCACAGGGCAATGCCACTGCTTTCTGAGTTCCTGGCATTGGGGTGGCCTTAGAGTCTCTCAGATTCCAAAAAATCATCTGAGGCACCACATCGCCAAACCCTTTCTCTCCAAACTTCCTAGTGATTGCTTGGTAATCAGTCTCCCAAGGGTTTGTTGAGGCTTGATCAAACTCCATGTCACTAAACACAAACAACTTCTTTATCAATTGATCCGGTTTCAGATTCCCGCTCACAGCCACCTCCAAGATCATATCAAACACCTTCTGAAAATCAATGTTCCAGCCCACATCCATGTTCTTCACAAACTCCTTCTTGGACTTGAGATCAGCCCCTTTAATCAAATGAAGTTTAAGGTCATTAGAAAAAGTCACAACCTTCCCCTTCCAAGGATCTTCACACAACTCAGACACCAACAACCCTAATGTCACACACACCTCCATGGGCAACCCATCCATACTCCCAGACACATCACAAACAACCAAACAACTCTTCATCATCCCTTTCTTCTTCAAATCATCAACCACCCTCTTCCACTGCAACTCAGTCACATCCTCGCAATCCCCATTATCCAATGACCTTATGATCCGATGGGGAAGCGAAGCACCAACAACAATAGTACTCTTCCCTAACTTCACATCCTTCAAGTAAGCCTCAAACCTCTCCTTGTCATGCTTCAAAAACTTATCTTTATAAAATTCCATAGCCACAAAAGCAACCCTATTGTAAGGAATCAAATCCCAACGATTGTCCCCTATGAACACCTCAAGCAACTCCAACACCCTTCCTCAAAGGCACCAACACCTCCTTCCTCAACCAATCGCGAACTCTATAAGCATAATGCGCCTCCTCAACCCCCTCGTACTCATTATATTCCTCACGAGGAAAAACCCTTTTCACAATTGTTTCACACAACAAAGCTTGTTGATCGAAAGATAGTCCAAAGAGGGACACCATTTTACGGCAAGACTGATTTTCGTCAACGACCCAGATTTCAAAAACTTGAGATCCTTCCTTAAACACTTGGAAAAATGATGAGAGACGCAATCATGAAGGAATCGAAAATCTGGGTCACTTGTATAACAATAACCAAGCTTCTTCGCCAATGCCTTCCTTTTCTCTTCTCTGGCAACATGTGAAAGTTCTTTCTCGGAAGACTCAGTTTTCTCCTTTGCCGCGTCGACTGTTTCATTCAAAGCCTCCCTTTTCCCCTTTTGCGTCTTAGTAGTCCTACGTTTTTTTCTTCTGTTGATCATCCGCCATTTTGCCTTGCACCACAGTTTTTCCTTGCACCACTCTCTTTTTTGAATTTCCCGGGGATCGGAACCTTATAGAAGGAGGTAAAGGATTTTTGGGAGGTCCTTGAAGTATCCAAAGTCAGTGAGGGAGGGAATGTTAGCAGCGAGGGTTTTGGGGTGGTGGCAATGAAGTGAGGGCCCACACAAGTTGGAGTCTTTGGAGGAGGGTCGCTGGTGGGGTGTCAGGAACCACGTGGAAGAAGAAGTCCAGACATGGGTTCCCCGTGGTAAGAAATGTTGGGGATAAATTTTCCATCAAGGTCATGTTTGGGGTTGATGTGGTGTTGAATGCGAACACCATTAGGTTCATGAAGGGGTCACTTGGAGTGGTGCATGTAACTGTTGGGATTGAAGCTGGGTCGGGGATTGTTTAGGCGAGGGTTGCGGTGGGTTCGGCGATGTAGAGTTCAGGTGGACCTATAAGGGTTGGGTTGCTCATTGTGTTGACTAAGATAATGGATTATGTTGTGATAGAATCTAGAATTGAAAGAAAAAGTTGTAACTTGCAAACTTCGGTTGAAGCAACTTAGGTGGAGGAGTGAAAGAGGTGAAAGGTGATCATTGGTTGGAGGGAAGAAGAAGCATAACACAACACTCATTCAATTTAACGCACAATATCAGACCATAAAAAAAATACAGATCATCTCAAGTTAACAGCATTGGGGACAACTTAACGGATATGGTAAAATTGGCACAATTTTACAAATATTATGACCCAATTGAGATAGTTTCAAATATGAGGACCCAACTGAGATTCCCATACAAATATGAAGATCATCCGGGGGTTTAAATATATTTTTTAATAATAATAAAAAATAATAGGTTTAAACCCTCATTTGGTCCTCATATTTGTGTGCCAATCTCAAGTGGGTCATCGTGTTTTTTTCGGTCTCAATCGGGTTTGTTACATGTGTTTGTAATGTAATTGTGATATCAATGTTGATGAAACTAGGTTGATGAAAGTACGATGAAAGTAGGTTTATATGAATGTAATTTGATCTTTGGAAGGATGTTTGGAATGTTGTTGTCTGTTTTAAATATAAAGTTGACTTGTAATGATGTTTAATATTGTCTTATTTGATTAATGAAATTTCATGTGGATTGTAGTTGTTAAAGGAAGTGCAAAGGTAACATCAGAAAACAACTTTGTTAAATATCATAAACATATGATGACAACTTGAATAAAAAGTGGACTTCATTATCATTTAAGAAAAAAACCTGATAGCAAGTTTGTCTTACTCAATGCATAAGATAACAAAACAAATCTGATATTAAAATAAGAAAAGAAACCTGATATTATGTTATCAATCTTACTCAATCAATAATATAAGAAAAGAAACCTGATATTACTTCATCAATCTTACTCAGTCAATAACATAAGAAAATGAACCTGATATTACTTCATCAATCTTACTCAGTCAATAACATAAGAAAATAAACCTGATATTACTTCATCAATACAAATTACACCAAATATGTCTTCATGAAGTACACATAGACCAAAATAAAAGTTATACTACATTGTTTTCATCACTAAATATGTCTTGAGCAATACACATTACACAAAAAAAAAATGATAATACATTGGTCCTTCATCACAGTTAAGATTAAATATGACTTCATTCATCACAAGGACATTCAGCTGACTCTTGAGAAATAGGCACATCTCTTGGTGGAGGGATTGTGAGTTGTGTTTGTTGAGTAGGTTGGTCAGCAGACACATCTGGTGGAGGCACAAATTGTGTTGTAGGTCGTTGTGGACATGATTTTTTGTTGTGTCCAAGTTGTTTGCAGACAACACAAGTTTTTTTGCTGCCACCCTTTCTTAATTCAATGTCATTCTTCTTCAACTCCCAAGGCCCTAGTCTTCGTTTCTTCTTGGGTCTTCCTGGCATTGTCCTCTTCTTTGGGGGTAATACATCTGGATATGAAGTTATGTCCCAGACAAGTTGACCATTAATAGGATAAATGATGGTGTTGTAAGTCTATTCATAAGTTGACTTCCTAAACCAATGGCCAATGTAGTCTTCTGCATTTAAATTTAAGAATTTCATTGTGGTTATTGCGTGAGTGCAAGGAATTCTAGTTATTAACCACTTTCTACAACTGCAGTCCTTGTTTTCAATATTGACAACAAATTGCTCCCCAAATTTAAGACTTCAAATAATTGATGCGATGACCATCTGTCATGAGCACAAAAATGACAACACAGTTAGCAACATGTTCTTAATGATGAGCAAAAATTAAATGTGGGTGTGAAGTTACCTTGGTAACCAATATCTGGTTAACCATGACTACTTTTCAAATCTGTTGAGAACCTTAGAGCACACAGAACCTTGATACAAACCCATTTTTGTCCTGTTCGTAGCCCATCTCATCATGATGTAAACCCTAATGTTTTCTAACATTGAGAAGTGGCTTACACCTACTACTAACTAGCACACTATTGAACCCCTCACACATGTTGTTCACAAGAGTGTCTGATTGTGATCTAGGACTGAATCTAGATCTTGACCAAAACCTGGAAGATTAAAATGTCAGTAAATAAAACTGTCAAAGCAAATAAAACTGTCAAAGCAAATATAACAGTAAAAGCACAATAAGGTTTGGAGAAAAGTGATTACATACCTAGGTGGAATTGCAATCAAGTATTTAAATGCGTATACATTTATCCTGACCATCTTCACTCACAGACTCATCCTCACCATCATCTCCAGCCTCTTCATACTGACCATCATCTCCAGCGTCATCCTCACCCTCATCCTCAGCCACACGATCATCCTCAATCTCATCCTCTTCTACATCTTCCAGCTCAAAATCATTGACATCATGTACCTCAACCTCCTCTACATGATGTACTTCACCATCCTCCACATGCTCAATCTGTTTAGCAACTTCACCCTCACCCTTAACCTCATTCTCAGAGTGACCCTCCTCCATTTCTATTCCAACTTCAGGATGAACCTCAGCCTCAGCCTCAGCCTCACCCTCAACCTCAACCTCATCCTCACAGTGACCCTCCTCCATTTCTGTTCCAACTTCAGGCTGAACCTCAGCCTCACCCTCAACCTCACCCTCAGGATCACCCTCCACTTCTCTTGCAACATCAACTTCATTATTAACATCACCATCAACCCCATCACCATCAACCCCATCACCATCAACCCAATCAATCATTTCTATTATCTATGGTTCCATGGTATTATGAACCACGTACAAATGAACTTCATCATTTAACCTTGCTATATTCAGCATATGCATAACACCCCTATCATCAGTCAATAATTCTAACCTATCTGGCACCACTGACTGACCTCCTAAATTGTACCAAAGTTCTTTTATGTCTATATAACCTAAGTCTTTCACTGAAACTTATATTCCAAAATAGCACCACAGGTCTAGATCACAAGACCATTCTGCTATCTCGCCATCAAATTTTAAATTTCCATTCTCATCACTAACAAAATGCCCACAATGATGGACCACAACTTTAATATGTTCAGCCATGCAATATTATAATTCAACCACAAGCTTTTAACACCTGTACAATGGGGGGGGAATATTATTATTTCTCACTTTTTACTAACTAAGCAAACATTCAGACATCAACGAGACAACGGAACAAACTAACATCCCCACTAAGGAAACACTCAGACATAAAAGTTGAACACAACTTCTAAACAATTCATAAAGGCACTTTTGGGACCACAACACTCTACACCTTTCAACAAACAGTGACATAAAAATCTTGGGACCCATAACCCATACCAATCTCGGGACTCATCACAAAATAACAGTACCAAATCAACTATAACCTAAACGCAAAAACATAGCACTATCGGGACCACAACACAACAAATTCGGGACCACAACAAAGCATAAACAAAGCAAAATAACTACATATTCGTAAAGGTCAAAAGCGAAAAACATAGGATACTAACCTTAACTGGCCCCCACTTTCAATTCTGTTCCTCCACCACCGCGTGATTGTCTTCGTCTTCGCAAAGTCGACCCAACCCTAATTCTCACACTCACTCACCAAAGCAAAATCCCTAACTCATGAAATCTCTAATTCCCATTTCAGTTTTTCTGTTTAACTTAAAATAAAAAGCCACTCAAAATCACTACTTCCCTCATTCCCTGCCACGTATAAATTTTTTTCATAAAACTATTATCCATGTATTTAAATATTTTAAACTGAGCTTATTATCTGTGCATCATGTAATCAAATGCAAACGACGTTACTGATAAATTAACGGAGATGGCTTGATTGACTCATTTTAACAAGTATAAGGACCTGATTGAGACCCAAAAAAATACGATGATCCACTTGAGATTGACACTCAAATATGAGGACCAAACGAGGGTTTAAACCAAAATAATAATAATAATTATAATTATAAAAGTTAATTTAAATCATTTTTAAAATTTTATTGTTGATAATTTTGTTATATATATATATATATATATATATATATATATATAT